AATTTTGTGTTGTGACCTGTGACATCCCCAATTTCACGGCTAGAAAAATACCGATTTCATTTATGATTTTATAATAAAATCAAAGTAACTTTTTAAGAAAGGTGTTGCGGAATTTGTTCCCAAAACAAAATATGATAAAAAATTATCAAAGCATTTCTTAAAGAAATGTATTTTCATTAAATTACAAAACTCGGGATGTCATTGTTAATACAGATCAAAAGCATAAACAAAACATCATAAGACAAAATTGGTCTTGAATACAATATAGGCCTTTACAACATTCCATATATTTTCTACTGGCCTATAAATTCATAATCTCTCGTCAGATCATCCAACAATGCTCTTGCCACTACCTATAATACAAAAAACTGAGTGGGTCAGGCTGGGGAGCCTGGTGAGCATATAGGGTTTTCAACCCACAATAAATAAGTTTATTAATTTCATCAAACCAAACAAACCTTGATTATCAGTTTTCGTTATCCTCACTTTACATCCCTAAAACATCTAATAAAAAGGACCTAGCCTAAGGATCATCATCGGGTAACAACATTGCTTAGGGGATACCTCAGCTGCTTATGTCAAATAAGGAAACCATGAGGGGAATGGAGTACACCTGGTGAACACTTAGTTCAAATAAACACCTACAAGTTGTGAGCCTGCTAGCGTTCCACTAGACTTCCTAGAAAAGTTTGTGGTCGTCATCTATACTCTGCTAGATGACTAGATCATCGTTAACACCGAGGCCTCTCATTATTTTATGTCATCACACCCCAACTATTTAATCTACCCATGCTTTACCCAACATATTTATAGATAAAAAATACATATAAGTTCAGATCTGAAAAATGAAGTTTAAATCTTTCATACAACATAGATCTCAAAGTATTATATATATATATATAGTTTAAATCTGAAAAGTTTAGATCTGAAGTGAGAAGGTCTAGATCTGAAGGAAAAAGTTCATATCTAAAAGAAAGAGTTTAGATCTGAAAGAAAAAATTCAGATTTGAGAAGAAAGAAGTATAGATCTTTTCATCCAGCATACATCTCAGGTAAACAGATAATATATATATATATATACACACACACACACACACACACACACATAGCACGTAATTTATATAAAATACTTCAGATCTATGTGTAAGATGAAAGTGACTATTGTGACATCTCCAATTTCACGGCCAGAAAAGACCGATTTGTTTATGCTTTGTTTTTAAAATCAGAGTAATCGTTTAAAGAAAATTGTTGCGGAATTTGTTCCCAAAACAAAATATGATAAGAATTATCAAAGCATTTCTTTAAAGAAATGTATTTTCATTATATAACAAAATCTCGGGATATCATGTTCAATAGAGACCAAAATCATAAACAGAACAAAATAGACCTTACAACAATTATTCATAACTACTGGCCTATAATCCAAAATCTCTCGTCAAGTCCACCAACTTATACTCTTGTGCCATTACCTGTAATGCAAAGAAAACTGAGTGAGTCAGATTTGGGAGCCTGGTGAGCATATAGGGTTTTCAACCCACAATAATATAATTATTATATTTAATTATCAACCAATCAATTCAAATACCCACCCCCATTGTCTCCATTTATTTCTTAAAGATTCACCCTATGAACCAGTTACCCTTCTCCCATTCATTCTTATGGATTGCCCTAAGGAACTGGCACAAAGTCTAGTGTTGCAAAGGTTCTTAGATTACCTCTGGTGAACACGCAATTCACAATAATTAATGAACACCTAGTTCAAGAACACCTAATGAACACTTAGTTCCGATATTACCCAATGAACACCTAGTTCACAAACACTTAATGAACTCTTAGTTCAATTATCCCTGATGAACACTAAGTTCAAATATCTAATGAACACTTAGTTCGAATATCCCTGGTGAACCCAATCACCTAAGGAACACAGAGAATGAAAGCTCTTAGTTCAAACACCGTGATAATAAAGTATATCTCGATCCTGCGAAACCACTAATGTTATAAACACATATAAATTATATTTCTAAAACAATATATCCCATCCCGTCGATCCCCACATATTGACCCTATACAATGATCTTACGAGATCTAGCCTAAGGAGTCGATATGAACCACAAACTGATGAAGTTGCTTCGGAAATTCCCTGGCAGCAAACGAGGATCAATAAAGACATCAATTGAGGGGAATGGAATAAGTTTCACCACGAACCTTCGCTCGTAAAAGAAAGAACCACAAGACAATTAAGTCATGGGTAATTATCAATGCCTAGGTTGTGGTCTGAATATCGTGAGGTATATAACCCCCAGACGCACCCTATCTGGCAATGGAAACGCTGACTAATGCCTAGGTTGTGGTCTGAACCCCCAGACTCACCCTATCCGGCATCGGAAATGGAAACACCGACTAATGCCTAGGCTGTGGTCTGAATACATGAGGTATTTCACCCCCAGATGCACCCTATCCAGTAGTTTAACACCAGACATACCTAGCAGTGGTGTATTACCGATGCACTTTATTAAGCAGTCTACGGAGTTCCCTTAATTACTTCGTGAGAGGAAACGCTGACATATGAAGCTCGGTCGATCACTTCATAAAAGAAATGTTGACTCCAAAGCTCTCTCAAAATAAAAGTATGGGGAAATACTAATAGAGTATTCCCGTACGCTCCCGTAACCGACACACAAAATTATCAAAAGACTTTGTACATGATGGTACTTCTGGCACAAGCAACACCCAAGACACAAAGCTTTGAAAAGGACTTCGTACATAAAATGTATTTTTGTACGTAAGACGTACTCCACCGATCATCAATCTCACAACACACGTATTCTTAATAAGAGGCTACCCAATGTCCAAACTTAATGGAACTAAACATCCCTATTTAAGTCTTAACCCATCACTAGGCAAGCCTACGATGCCTATAATCAATTTTCGATACTATCTCCATTTGGAAATGCTAACTACGAGTATACTTAACACAAAGTTTTAAGTAATATATACACATCTTAACACATATGGGACCATAACTGGTACGTACGTTGTATATCATCAATTATATATATAACACATATTTCGGGCAAGAACAAATACTTCACATACATATATAATTAACACTTTAATCAATACTTGTATTAAAATTATGTCCATGAAAGGGACTATGCACATGATATCCTGTCATATGAACACTTAGTTCAAAAATACATAATCCGTACTCCCGGATCTAACATTTACCTCATTATCTAATCCGTATTCCCGAATCTAAAAATAACCTCTTGATCTAATCCATACTCCCGAATCTATAACAAGTTTATCTCTTTACTCTTATATCTTATGATCCAAATCATCTTTTATCCCATACCAAGAATCTCATCAACCCATGCGCTACCCAACACATTCGTAGATACAAAATACATATACGGTTTAACTCATTAAAACCTATATAATTTATCCATTCCACAGTTATTTCAAATAAACAACAAATATATATATATATATATATATATATATATATATATATATATATATATATATGTATATATCTATACACACACATAATACGTATTTCATAGCAAATACTTAATATTTATGTGTAAGAAGAAAGTGACCACACACTTACTTGATTAGAAGATGATCGGACAGCACTACGACTTGTAGAATTAGTATTCTTGGGTAGATCTGGAAGATCTTCACAAAAACCGGGCTCCTCGCGGGCAGGGCTTTAGTTCGGGAATCTCACTTCTCGGGATCTTCGGGACTTCGAAACTTGCTTCAGGGATCGGGAATGATACCGGGGCTTCGGGATATAATTGGCACACAAAACGATGCAAAGCTTAGAGAGAAAAGAAGAAAAATCGCAAGGAAAATGGCTGATCTCGAGTTCTATTTATAGGCTGCTGGGTCTGGGATTACGCTGGACGTAATTTCCAAGTAAGCTGCGCGTACTTCGACGTCACTGCATGCATCATTTGGTGGCACTCGAGTATTGGTCAGACAACTTGCACTCCTCTGAGTACGCTGGGCGTACTCAAATTACGCTCGGCGTAATTTGACTCGTCAAACTTCTAAATTGCGTAACTTTCGCATACGAGCTCCGTTTTTGACGTTCTTTATATCCACAGAAACCTTGTAACATATAATATAACTTAGTTAAGATTATTCATTCTAAATAATTTTTCATGAAAAATCCATTTTTGACGCATATCGTCTCTAAATTGACTAGCCCGGATCTAAGGACGTTACAACTATGTACTCACTTGATAAGGTGGTGATTTGGACAACACTTCGCTTCTTAAAATGATATTCTTTGACGAAACTGGGAGGTTTGCTTGAAAACCGGGCTCTGCTTGGGCAGAGTTTCTAAACCGAAAAACTCTTTTTCCTGGAGCCTTCGGGCGCGCTGGAGCTTTCTTCTAGTGCTAGGGAGGTATGTCAGCTTAGCTAATGCGAACACCGTCCAGGGTTGTGGCCTAGGCGCTTCCTCGTGTCACACTTCTCTCCTGTATCCTTCTTTTATTCTTTCACTCTTTTTCTCTTCTTTATTTCTTCTTCCCTCTCCTTGTCCATTGTATGAAATAGATGACACCACCACCATTTGCCCTGGTAGAACAATAACATCATTCCCTCTTGCCTAAGGGCTAAGGCCTATACAATTTAGAAGGTTTTTTGTGTTTTTGTACTTACGCACATAGCTTTTTAGTTTTGTACTATTCTGGAAAACAAACATGCCATATTAAATTCTTTCTGTCCAACAAAAAAATTAAAATTCCTAAATAAAAACAAACACCACAAATCTTTATTGAAAACAAATCTAAAAAAACGATTCTTTATTGAAAACGACATGCGAAACAATACACAGTATAACGAATGTCATATATTTTTGCTATAAAGTATGCAATACAAATAAACAAATATTCGCATCAAATTTTAGTTAAAATTGATTCCATTTTCATGTGCAAGAGGAGTAACTGTTTAAACAGCGTATTATCCACGTGTACAGATCGTCGATGATATTCCCTGCCAATCCAACGGTTCGCAGATTCCGTAGACCATCCGTTCCTTTTTTCAGAAAAAGGTTTCAAAGCGTCAAATTTGTGCGTTCACTCTCCGACCCCAATATCTCTCTTCTTTTTTCTCACTCCTCACATTCTTTTCCATTCCAGAACTCGATTTCGCTGTCAATCGTTCAATCTGTAAGTTTTTCTCTACTTTTTCTTCTTCTTCAATGGCCTTCGTTGATTACTAGTCCTAAAAGTAAACAAAGTGAAAATGTTAAGGAGAAGAACAGAATACAGACTCACTGTTTCACTGATTTTTTGCTGGTAAATTTTTTGTTAGTTAATTAGTTTTTGATTCGATTGTCTTTTTTGTTAGTTTGCTGTGATGAGTTTGTGTTCTAAGTCAATGAGTTTGAGACTGATGGTTAGGTTGTTTTTTTTCTTAGTATGTCGTTTCGTTCATCATCGATGGTTTTTTTGGGATCAATTTCCAGAAGATGGAATGAATCAAGGCGCTAGTATGTTTATTGAAGGCTTATTAGTAGCAGAAGTGTGTTTTTGTAGAATCTTCGCTTCATAGATTATTGTTTTGATTTATCCGATTTACTTTTACTTCTAATTTCACGACAAATTAGCATGCACTTACATTTTACCAGTTTGATTCCGGCAAATTTCATCCGTTTTTTTGATCAATTGCCAGATGTTGGAATGATAGAAGTTCCTAGTATGATTATCGAAGAGCTTGTTTGTTAGGGCTCATCTTCTAATTTTCTGTTTCATCTTCTCCAGTCAGATGTATGGATTTGAAGTCGTTTAGTGTTACAAGATTGTTCGCGTGGATAATTTTTTTTTCCTTTTTCCAAAAACAAAGCGTATACATTAAGTGTTGAATCTTCGTTTCATGGATTATCGTTTTAATTAATCGGATTTACTTCTAATTTCATTCCAGATTAACATGCACTTACGTTTCACCAATTTGATTCTGGCAATTTTCATTTTTCAATACTCCTCCATTTGACTTGGAGAAAAGTCTTCTAATTTTCGATTTTGAAACTTCTGAAACTCAAATTTTACATCGATCGTTTTTAATTATCAATTGGAAATGTTCTTCTCACTTTCTCATAGTTTTATCTAATAATCGTTTTTTAATCTACAATCAGAAGAATTCTTATCAGTTTTTGGAATCAAACAATGGGAATCGGTCTATTGAATCAAACAATAGTTTGTTAAAAAAAAAAAAATTAAGCAACTCATTCATTTGTGGAGCAAAATTTAGGTTTAGCATAAATGCATAATTGTTTCGTTTGTAAATCTATGATTATCATCAAAGTCGCCATATCTTTAAGTGTAAAAATAGAATTTGATTTAATACACATTCTGTTCTCACAATTACACACTATTCAATAATAACGAAAACAGAAATAAATGGATTTTTTATAGTAAAGTTGGTGTAGCAATAGATTTGGCCTTTATGTTTTGAATTATTTGGTTGGTTAGTAAGGTCAAAATATTTTCTGTATACCTTTTATATGGTCCCATAATTATTTCAATTTTTCTTTTAAAATAAGCCCCCACTTTTTAGAAGCTAAAACTCGTTCATTTGACTCTTAATGTCAATTGTGGGGTCTTCTTATAAAAAGGTTGCAGGTGGAGGATATTCTCAACAGTTTCATACAGTTAATCTGTATTATCAGAAGTGATAGTTTCACAATTATAATTTGTTAAATAATTTCAAATTGAAGGTACACATGGCTAACAATGAGGGAAAAGGAAGCGAGAAAAGCTCTGGAAATAATCGTGTGAGCCTCAATGAAAGGATTCTCAACTCAATGTCACGAAGAGCTGTTGCTGCTCATCCATGGCATGACTTGGAAATTGGTAAATCCTTTATTTTCTAATACTCTATTCATAATCAGAGTTTTATAAAAATCTAGTGTGCAATTAACAATCACTCTTCTTAAAGGTGTTGTTTTTGTGTTTGATAAATGCAGGTCCAGGTGCACCTGCGGTTTTCAACTGTGTATGTTTTTCGACATTTCTGTCAATTTGTGCTTTTGCTAATTCTTGTAAATTAAGATTTTTTTTTTTTTTTTATTTAATTAAAATGGTGTAACTTTATGTTAGGTTGTTGAAATTGGAAAAGGCAGCAAAGTGAAGTACGAACTTGACAAGGCGAGTGGCCTAATCAAGGTAAGGTTCTTCTTATTACTACCTTTTTATCAATTTTCCTTCTGCTTAATAACAATAATGAATTTTAGATAATTGATTTTCTTATATCTCTTCTACATTTGTTGGTGCATTGTTGACTTTTAAATTAAAAAAAAAAAAAAAACAGGTTGACCGGATTCTCTACTCATCTGTGGTTTACCCACACAACTACGGTTTCATCCCAAGAACCATTTGTGAAGACAGTGATCCCATGGATGTATTGGTACTCATGCAGGTATAAAATTAAAAAAAAATTAAAAAAAAAAAAGTCGATTATATAATATTTTTGAAGTTAATTGGCTTGTACAGGAACCAGTACTCCCGGGCACCTTTCTTCGTGCGCGTGCTATTGGATTAATGCCTATGATTGACCAGGTACATGTCCTTTTCAATTTTAAATTTTCTTATTTAATTAAATAACAAAACATCTGTTTTCATAAAACTATGTTAATTTGTGTCGTTTCCTGCATTTAGCTCCATTGTTTGACTTATTTGACCAATTTGAATTTTCTTTTGGTTTTGCAGGGTGAATCTGATGACAAAATCATAGCAGTATGTGCAGACGACCCTGAATTTCGCCACTACACTGACATCAAAGAACTTCCTCCCCATCGTCTTGCTGAAATTCGTCGTTTCTTCGAGGACTGTATCCGTAAATTTGCGTTTATTTATTTATTTTAATTATTATTTTGGGGCATTGTATAGCCTTAATTAACTTGATACAGACAAGAAGAACGAGAACAAATCAGTGAAAGTGAACGATTTCCTCCCTGCAAATGATGCAATTGAAGCTATCAAGTATTCCATGTGAGTAAATAGTAATCCAGAATCTTTCATCTTTCTGTGTTTCTTGCATGTGTTTCAAATGAATATATATTTGTGATTGCAGGGATCTGTACGCCTCCTACATCGTTGAAAGCTTGAGGCAGTAAAAATTGGTGTTATTATTATTATGTGGTAGGATCCTTGAAAGTAATATAATAATAATATATGGGTTATGTTGATGGTTTGTATAATCATCGTTACTGTGTTTCTAGAACAAGAACAAAGGTTTAAAAGGGCTGTTGTGGTGATGGAATATTGCTCTACACATTTTAACAACAGAAACAAAACATCTTTTCTTATACTGTCACTAAATAAAATATATACGTATAAATAATCTAGGATGCAGTATAAGATACCGTAAATTACAGAAATGGTCCTTGTGGGATATTGAAATTCTCACTTTAAGTCCAAGTTTCAAAATTTTGGCACCATTATTCGTCATAGTATCAAGTTCTTCCATTCAATTTATTTTAATATTTATGATAAAGATACAGTGGTTGATAAGGATGCATTTGTGGCTCCTACACCGACAGTATCTTTCCGGTAAGAAAAAGAAATCATACAAACATACACATAAAGGCGACTTCTTATAATGAGACACAATACTTTTCAAAAGTCTAAATTTGCCCCCTGATACTCTATCACTTGGTCTTTGATAGAACGAAGAACATCATGAACATGGTCTCCAGTACATGTGATCAATTTCTTCTTGATTGTGGAATATGGAAGAAATCCTTTTTCTCTGCAACTATCAATGGCTCCTTTGAACATCTCCTCCATATCATACTTAAACTTGAACCCCATATCGGTTAATTTCTTTGATGAAAAAGAAACTACGGGTAACTCATCATTAATCCCTGGAAACCTACCAAATCACCATATATGTGAATATCAACACTCAACACAAACAAGATGAAAGAAAAAAAAAACGCTAACTTTAGATTTTCATACTGAGTTGGAACGTGGTATTCGGGCCATTTCTCATTGATCATTCTTGCCAATTCATGAATCGTGGCATCATGGGAAGAGCAAATGTATCTCCCTTCAGCTTTCGGGTTCTCATATAGGTATATATGGGACTCACAAAGATCATCCAAATGCACGTATTGACCTTGTTTTATGATCGAATAGTGTGATTCCTCACCTGGTTGAAGTGTAAACACACACACAAAAGTGAGAGCATATATAGAAAATACCTTCCTTTTTATGATTTTGTGGGGTGTGGTATGTACCATTGATTAAAGAAAGTGCGGTAATAAGGCTTGGAGGGAATGAGGGAGTGATGAATGGACCAACGACTAAGGTCGGTATGATACTAATGAAATCGATATTGTTTTCCTTTGTTGCTTCGAATGCTGCTTTTTCTGCCAATGTTTTCGATACGAAATACATCTGCGCTTGTTCACAAATTTAAACAATACAATTAGCAGACCAAGTATTTGAACTTAGTAGTATTTGATATGATGGAATAGGAAACAAATAGAATGATTTATTCACATGAACCAAAAAAAATATGATTCCTTCCATTTTGTAAATTTTCATTATTGTTATATTCTTTTATCATTCGTTCCAACGAAATAGCCGTGGATCCCGGGAAAAACTTTACATGTTCAATAATTAAAATTCCGAAATTTGGGTTTTGTTTTTATTCCTATAAAAGAGTGTCATATACTGAAGTGGGGACAAATTATACACTTTATGTACTTTTATGTTTATATATATATATATATATATATATATATATATATATATATATATATATATATATATATATATTTGAGACCATTTTCGGTTAGAGGATATATAATGCATAGATGAACAAGAGAGTTGAATAGGATGACATGCCTAATAAATAGATTAAACTCTATTATTTTAGGTACCATTTTCAATGAAAAAAAACCTTTTAATTATTTAAAATATATTTTATTATGTAAACCGTAAAACTCTAATAAATTCAAATGACTTATCTATCAATTTGAAAATGCATTAATTTACTAAATGGGTCGCATAAACCGCTAAACAATGTGTTTTTGTTTTGTTGTATGAAATATAATTGATAATAAAAACAACGAATTGAAACGTACCCAAGCAGTCATTTTCTTGGAGTAGATGAAGTCCAAATCGCTCCAATGAGACTCATCATAGACCGGAAGTTGATCATTTCCGTGCACGTTCACAGTCCCGGCAGAAGATGTAAACACCAGTTTCTTGACTGTTTTGACTTTCACACATGATCTTATGATGCTTAAAACACCTTCTATTGTTGGCTTTATGATCTCATTCTGTAATATACATAATAATATTCGTTATCGATCATCCCCACAAGAATGGAATATGCATGCAAAAAGTATAACATTAGTCATGTAGCTACCTCAGGATCCTTGGATTGAAAGTCCATAGGGGTGGCCACATGAAAGACTCCATGGCAACCTTCAATGGCTTCATCAAAGCTTCCTTCTTGTGCCAAATCTGCCTTCCATAACGTCAAGTTTGTTTCTGCTTTTGGTAGTTCCAATAGATGTTTCACTTTCTTTACGTCATCTGTTTGATCAAAATTACGTTATATATTTGTTTTAACTTTTAACAAAACCAACCAACAATATCTTAATTAAAAAAAGAGTCGAGAGGACTATATATGTATACCGGGGTCACGAACTGTGGCATGAACATTGTACCCACGTTCAAGAAGTCTCATAACAAGCCATGAGCCAATGAATCCGGCAGCTCCAGTGACACACACGGTGGTCGGAGAATCCTCTTTCATGTTGTTTTTGATGTATTTGTGATGATTGATTAATGATGAGGATCAGTTTTTGTAACATAATATTATATATAGATGGGGTTTTAGTTGAACAGCACGTGCCGAACCCACCATTCAACTAGGAAGATAATAAACGATGGAGAATGAGGGGTGATGGAGGAGGGTATCATGCTTGGACGTTTGACCGGTTGGTTAGACACCAAGGTGGTTTTGGGGTTATTCTAAATTCACAAATACACTTTTCTTAACACAAAATCATATCTTTGAGATCATACTTGATATCTCAAGAAGGGTGGTTAATTCGTGACACAATATGAATCCACCACGAAGATAAATATCTTTGGGTTGAATTTTTCTGAATCATCTATCCGTTTATTATATTGGTAGTATTCGGATTAGCAAATACTTTGGTGAGTTGACTTTGGACTCTTTTTTTATAATATTAAAAAAACAAAATTAAAATATATATTTATTTCTTGTGACCTCCAACCCTTATTTTGCAGGTTGATTAGCAAATACTTTGGTAGTCTTTGTGAACCCGTTTATTTTGTTTGACCCGAAAACTTGATTCTGACCTACGAACCCGAAATGACCTAGGACCCCACAAGCCCTTTTAATTAGACGGTTTACGCGGGTCATATCCATGTTAATGTTAAACAAGACAACATAAATATTTATATGGTTCATATCCGGATTGAACTTTCTAACCCACGATCTGATAATCCGAATACGACGTGATTGATTGACACATCTGATATAAGTATATGAATGTTTCCGGGAACATGAGTGTTTTTTTTTTTTTTTAAATGTAACGGTTTTTAATTTTTTTTTCTAAAAACTAATAAAATATTAAATATGGAAAGATTTATATAACAAATATAACCAAACCAATTTAAAATAAAATTTAAAATTTTAATGCAAACAATTCAACAAAACGAATATCATAATATTATAAATATTTAATGGGATAATTTGGTTTTATCCAAATAATAAACTTATCTAGTAATTTTGTGAGGTATATTTTTCACATCACTCATAGCCAACACATTTTATATTCGATTTCGTGCCACCACAGAAAGGATGGTGATTGTGTTCACCATTATCACGCCATGAAGAGACGCAAAACAAGAGAACATAGTCTGTGTGTTGATTTCGACATCTAAGGGACAGGTTGTCACTTATAACGATTAGGATTAAAAACCGAAAAAAATGTTCATTTACAAATAATCATAAGATTCAAACTCTCCATTTCTTTATTTCGTGCAACAATTTATTATGCTGTATTGTTTGATGTATTTTCATAAGAGGCCTTTTGTAGTATTTCCTCTTCTGCTTGAGCTTCATAACCATCATATTCAAACTCTTCATTTTGTATAACATTAATCTTTATGTTATCTTGCATATCTCCTTCATTCTTGTCTTTAACTCTTTGTATGTTTCACACTCACTCAAGATCTATATAGATAGGGGCGGACGTAGAAATACACAATAGGTATTGCTGAGAAAAAATAAGTGTTGTCGATACATGAAAATTAGGTAAAATAAATTGAAATTTTTTCCATTGCGGACAAAAAAAACAGGCGTTGTCGGTGCCACACCAAAACCGGCCTAAAACCGCTCCTGTATATATAGACAACAAAGTTGAAATCCCTCATGCAGACCTCTACCTCATCTACCAAAGAGGATCGGTCCTATGGTGAAATAAGAAAAAGGGTCCTTCTAAAACAAAAAATCAAATATATTAATGATTCAAAAGGCATACCATTTATAAAAATTCATTACAAATATCATCAAAAACACAAATATAATTACAATATTTACAAAAAACACCAAATTTAAAGGAAAATATTTCAAGCATTTTAGATGCAAAATCAATGATAAACTACCAAGATAAATTCTAACATATCTTTCCTTATACATCATACAACCATTGGAAATTTCTTTTAACACTAATAACCTTAGATAATTTTTCAATAACTTCAACTTTGAAAAAATTTTAGCTGCATCATGTGTCTTGACGCACTTCCCACAACGGCTCCGGCCCTACTGGCCCTTCGACCTAGAGTCGAATCCCTTGAATTTCTTTTCCAAAAACCCAGTTGTCTGCCTAGTCTCAGCCTTACTCTTCTTGAGGTGCTCTATATCAATCCCTGTCTCACTCACCCACACACTCATGTCGTCCAAAGTTGGGCATGCCGAGTACCTGACATGTTATCAGATGCCAGCCCTCAACATGTCGTGGTACCGGGTCTTCCTCATCTCCTCATCACCTGCATACTGAGGCACCAGTAAGGCCTTCTCTCTGAACTTGGCGGTAATCTCCACCACTGACTCAATCGCCTACCTCATATCATTAAACTCCCTAGCTAGCTGTCGAAGCTCCACAACTGGTGCAAACTCATCCCTAAACGTGGTCATAAAGTCCGGCAAGGTCATAACCTCAATGGTTGGGGCTCCCAACGAATCACTGATTGCCTCCTACCAGTCTCTAGCTCTGTCTCTCAAACATCCCAAGCATACCGGACCTTCGACCTCTCAGGGCAGAAGCTAGTCAACTGTGTAGACTCGATGTTTGCAATCCATCTCCTGGCTATAATGGGGTCCTTCGCTCCGTAAAAGTATGACGCACCACATCACCTGAAGTCCTTCAAGGAGAGTGTGTGCATCCTTGTCTGGCCAGATTCCATGTCACTCCAGAATGCCATAATCCGCTCCCCCAACAGCTTGATGATCCCTTCCTTGATCGACCTAAAAATCACAGGGTTGCCTCAAGGATTCCTTTCTTAATCTCAGACGCGATGAACTTGCGTAATCCATCATCAACCGGCTCGGAACCCGCACCCAAACCTGAACCTGAACCTAATCCAGACCCTGAACCTGCTGCTCCATGATGTCTCACCACCATTTTGAAACAAAACACATAATTGTCAGGGTCATACATAACCTCGAGAGGTCTCACACACTCCACAAGTTCCCTGGTTCTATCTCAACCCTCCTGGACTCGAGTACGAATCCTCTGCTTTCAGTAGTACGGGGCCATACTACCTTCCACATCTATCTGTACTTTCCTCAAGGATTGCCTTGACTTTACCAAGTCCCTTTCACTAATATTTCTCTATGTACTAATCTTATCCTAGGCTTACCTAGGGTAATCTCCGACCCTCTCTTCGCCATCATCTACATAAGAAGTTCCTACTACCTCCCCCTAACTAGCTTGAGAATACCATTACATATTACTAAGACCAAATAATTTGAATGAGAGACCCTGCCCTACAATGGTTGGACACCGACAAGAGCTGCAAAATAGGGCTACATTAACCTTTTGAAATTATTTAGTAATCATAATATGTAACCTAACATATTCATCTACTAGTTAGCTAAAGATAGCTAGGATTCCTAAAGCACAAAGATAACAACATTCAGGCTTTGAGTAACCCAAACCAAACATATCCTATCATGGCTATCATATCAATGACTAATCCGTACTATCATATAGCTCGATAAGCACATATAGCAGGCATACAAGGCATCTTAGTTGATCCTTAGCCCTAATGTAGCATGTAGTTCTCATAATCATATCATCTATCATTGCAAACATGTATGGGTATCTTGGGAAAAACTTACTTGAGCTCGGCTAATTACACACATCACACTCCTTGTTCTTTCTCAAAACTCTTTATTTTATTTTTTTTGAAAAATTATTTTCTTTGTAAAGACTTCCAAACCCTTGATTTCAGTTCAGAAACCCCAGAAGGTGTGTCCAAATCCCTTAAACCAAGACTCTGATACCAACTTGTAACATCCTAAAAATCATGACAAAAAATTTCCTTTTAAATTATTAAATAAACCATAGTTATCAAGATTATTTCATCCAAAAACATAAGTCGTCATATCAAGCCAGAGTATCATATCAAAACACATGTCAACATATCAGAGTACAAATCCCAA